TTGATGGTCATTATGCTGTAAAACATTATGTAATATTGCATCAAAATTTGAAGAAACCCCTATTTTGGGCACTGCTCCCATGATGACCATTTAAGGAAAATCATGTCACTTACTGTTCTCAAACTTACAGGAAAGAAACATGGGACTAAAATACAGCTTCAGTAGGCAATGCAGTCTGTTTGGTAAATTATTCTGGCAATTAAACAGTTTTTTGTGAAAATTTAATTTTTCACATATTGGCATTTCCAAGGTGTGACTTCGAACCTCCACGGGCTTGAAGACCCATGCTAGTCACATTTTGTGAAAATCCATGACACTTATATTTTATTATTAAAAATCGATGATCATTATGCTGTTAAGCATTATGTAATGTTGCATCAAAATAGAAGAAAACACAATTTTTGGTGCTGCTGCCTTGATGACCATTATGGGAAAATCATGTTACTTATGACTCAATCTTTCAAAAAAAAGTTGGAAAAGCAGTCTAATTGGCTTCTTTTTCTGGAATTTATACATTTTAGTGAAATATTCATTATTATCTTTTTGGCATATTCATTGTGGGACTCAGAACTCCCATGGACATGAAGCCGAATGGTAATCAAATTTTCTACATGTCCTTGCTATTTATAGTCAATAATCAAAAATTGGTGATAATTATTCTATAAATTATTATGTAATGTTACATCAAAATTGACAAAAATCTTTTTTTACTGCTTCTGCAAACATTATGGAAAGAAAACTGTGTTACTTATTATTATTTTTAACTTACAAGTATGATTTTTAGGATTGGCATGCAGTTCAAATTAGAAAGCCAGCTCAATTGGGTTATCATTTATTATTGAATTTATGCAATTTTGTGTGAAATTTTCATTTTTCTCATTCTGGCTCTTTCTAATTGTAAACTTGAACTTTGATGGACCTGAAGCCTTATGCTTTTACTTTCGTCGGTGTTACCTGTTGTGCATAATTAAAATTTGATGTTGACTGTGCAGTTAAACATATTGTACTATTGCATCAGAATTGGCAGTCTCCTATTTTTGTGCATTATTGTTTTGTGCTTTTCTTAAGCTGTGTCTTATGGGACAAATTTGTGTGGTCAGTCTGTAAATTCCCCTTGGGTATTCACTAGGCTAAGTTTAGTGCTATAAACTCATTTGCCTGATTAAGTGGCCATTAAATGAGATTTCATAAACCACACTTGTTGATATTTCCCTGTAAACTCCCAAAGGTTAAGCTCTCTGCTAGATAACAGTGTCCATAATAAGGAAGCACTGAATAGCAGCTTCATTAGATTATATTTTTGTTTTCTTTTTAATTTTTTCTCCAACACTGGCATTTTTAAGATGTGACTTTCTCATCCACCTGAGGCTCTGCACAATTTCTGTATTTCCACATACGCAGTTGTATTGGTATTCATGTCTTTAAACACTATGTAATATTATTTTATGCACTGTCATCATTTTTCATATATTGGGACTTTCATCATGTGAATTTTAACTCTCATGGTCATGAAACTATAATCTTTTTGAAGGGGTGGATTGAGACCATCTTCTGGGTCTCCTGGTAGACAGTTAGATTTTAAAGTTTATATAAATGGGTATCTATTTTTTTCTGTTGGAAGACCATCAAAATGGAAGATGGATCAATAAAGATACTTTAAAATACTGTCAAAAATATTTCTGGATCTGCTCCTGTTATTGACCATGTTACCTGTTGTGCATGATGAAAAATCAGTGTTGACTGACTGCTATTATAAGCATTATTTATTATTGCATCAAAATTGACAAAATGACCTCTTTTGCATCTTTTTTTTTCTGTTTTTTGTCTGTACATTTGACAGCTTTGCTGCCTTGTAATTACATGAGCTAGGTTCACCAAGATTACAGTTAATTGGAAAGAAAGAGGGGGACGTTGTGGGATGATCCTGCACTTTGTAGATACTCTGTAGATATCTTGGATAATGTTAACAACAATGTACTAAAAAATAGGTGATATATGTCAAAGTATTAAAAAGATGTCACAAAATTAACTCGCGTATATGACTAGCATGCCAAAATCTGGTTCAATTCACTTCCCAACTGAGACGGCTCAGTAGGTAGAAAAATTGTTCGGGTTGTGTCAGATACATGTATTAAAGACGAACGGTAATGAGGAAAAATTGTCAATCTTTCCATTACATAATTGTGAACACTCGAGAGAATTTTCTCTGATTTTTGACATACAGTATCTGTAGAGATAGCACCCCTGCTGTGCTTCTAAAGGAAGAAAGAAAGATTTCTAATAAACTGTGGAGAAAAACGTCTACTCCTTGAGAGAGATCGTAAAAATTATATTACAATTAACGGCCCTATTTCGATCGTTCTGGTTAGAACTTATGTTATGGATATTCAAAGTTATTATGATAATTCAGTTTAATTTGCTGATAATGTTTTTGTTTTTTACTTGTCAAACGTAGAATAAAGACAAATGTTGAGTTTGTTTTGCAAAGTGATGCCGTCGCGTCATGAAAACGCAATATTAAAATGAATTTATTCCCGTGGAACATAGAACTTCAAATCTTGGAAGGAGGACGGGGCTAGTTTTAAAATGGGTCAGTTAAGTACACCGCGTTAACAGGAAACGTCTTAATTATGCGGTTTATATGCTTAAAAACGTACATCTTACAATCCAGCCGACAACCGGACGCGTGGATTATCTTTCATCTTAACGTGCAAATAAATATATAAATGAAATAATAATAATGATAACAACAACAGTGTAATCATAAGTCAGAAAAGGTTTGCCCCCCCTCCAAACCGCCGAATTTACTCGCGCAGAACGATGCTAAACAGTGGCAGATTTAGAGGTGTGGTCAGGGGGGGGGGGGGGGGGGGTCGGCTTCGCGTCCGCGTACCCCACCCTCGTACTTCAAATAATCCTGGATCCGCCCCTGCTAAATACCACTATTTGAAATAAGAGGGACGTCAGCCAAGGGAGCGAAGGACCTCGGTATTTAATGTAGTATCAAATATTTATCGAGCAATTTGGGGCATAAACCGGGCAGTGCTGTGGGTGTAACACTCGGAACTACTCGGATGTCTCCGCAATCGACTGCGGAGTCAGCCGAGGATTGCCGATTGGTGTAATAGTGTAATTAGCTAAAGAAACCAAGACAGGCTGAGCTTTAGGAGGTGCGACATTGCGTCATAATTTTCTCAATTTGGCTAAATTTTTCTTTACAAAGTTGTTTATACTATAAATAAACAAAAGAATACATCGATATACCCAGAAAAGAAAATTTAAATAAGAAAATGTAAATGTCTTTATTTCATACAATCGAAAGACAGCACTTTCCCTTTGTTCGCACTTGAATTGATTTTTCTGTAGCGAAACGATAAGATTTGGAGATTACTGTTCGTTTTAAAGGTTAATTTAAGAAGATCTTGAGCAAGAAAAGACTACCCATAGCACAGCCATTACTGATGCCATGTCTTCGTCAAGGGAAAGTTATAAAAACGCAATTAATGACGATCAAGAATGCGGATCAGATGGAAAGAACGTGACTTTGAACAAAGAAGGTACTTATAATGAATCAGAAGAGGCCACAGATAATGATGGAGAAATGCAACTAGATGCAAGGGATCATAGTGTGAAGGTTGAAAATGGTTGTGGCGATATGAATTCACCTGAATTCAGTAATCATGCTGATACACTGTGCATCAGCATCAAGATTTTTGATGATTCGATTAAGAAAAGATTGAGAAGAAAACCTTTGTGCCTCATCTGTGGT